ATGAAATAATTATACAACTCACCATAATGTAGAATCAATAGGATCCCTGAGCTTGTTTTCCTGCAACTAGACAGTCCCATATGGGGTTGATGGGAGACAGTGACAGATCATCCGGCATTAGATTCTCACAAGGAGCACGCAATCCCGATCCTACATACGTGCAGTTTACAATAGGGTTTGCGGTCCTATGAGAATCTAATGCTGCCACTGATCTGACAGGAGATGGAGCTCAGACAGTAAAGTAGGCGATGGGGAGCAACTGTAAATACAGATGAAGCTTTGCTTGCTCACCTGCTGCTTACCTCCTGCTGTACTGGTCCATGGCCTGGGGGTTGGGGACCCCTGCTTTAAATGATAGAGATTCTCAGGACTTGGACCTTGACTCTCTTCTCATTTTATAACCCCTTCCTAGATGACCTCGTCCATTTCTAAGACTTCAGTCAATCAATGCCATCAGAGACATAGCTTTAATCTAGGCCTGTGCTATCTAACCAGGGTAACAAATAGCTGGCAATTGAGCACTTGAAATGTGACTAGTTGGAATTGAGATACACCATAAGTTAAAATTTGAAGATAGTATGAAAAAAGAATGTATCTCATTAACAATTTTTTTTTGGCTGGGCATGGTGGTGACTCACGCCTGTAATCCCAACACTCTGGGAGGCCGAGGTGGGCGGATCAAGAGGTCAAGAGATCGAGACCATCCTGGCCAACATGGTGAAACCCCCGTCTCCACTAAATACAAAAATTAGCTGGGTGTGGTGGCATGCGCCTGTAGTCCCAGCTACTCAGGAGGCTGAGGCAGGAGAATTGCTTGAACCTGGGAGGCGGAAGTTGTTGTGAGCCAAGATCACACCACTGCACTTCAGCCTGGGCTACAGAGTGAAACTCCTCTGTCTCAAAAAACAAACAAACAAACAAAAAAAACAATTTTTTTTTTTTTTTTTTGAGACAGAGTCTTGCTGTGTCACCCAGGCTGGAGTGTAGTGGCGTGATCTAGGCTCACTGCAACCTTTGCCTCCCAGTTTCAAGTGATTCTCCTGCCTCAGCCTCCCAAGTAGTTGGGAAATACAGGTGCCCACCACCACGCCCAGCTAATGTTTTTTGTATTTTTAGTAGAGACAGGATTTCACTATGTTGGCCAGGCTGGTCTTGAACTCCTGACTTGGTGATCCACCCGCCTCAGCCTCCCAAAGTGCTGGGATTACAAGCGTGAGCCAACGCACCCAGTCAACAATTCTTTATTTTGATGAAATGTTGAAATAATATTTTGGATACATTGGGCTACATAAAATATATTATTAAAATTACTTTCACCTCTTTTATTCTACTTTCTAAAATGTGGCTCTTTGAAAATTTAAAATTTGGCTTGTTTTATATTTTTGTTGAGCACAGCAGTAGACATTTGCTCAGAAAAGAAAGGTCCAAATCTGATTATCCAACTGCTTTCTTGACATTTCCCATTGGCTTTCCAATACTCAAAACAATTCTTCAAAAATTACACCCAAAGCCTCCCCATCCTTCCAAATTTTTCTTGTAGCCTCCTCCTGGTATCCTCCTACATCTCATCCCCCTCTAATTCATTGAAATCAGAGTGATCTTTGCAAAAACAAATCTGATCATACCACTAGCTTCCCACTACTCTTAGGATTAAAACTGAAATCCTCAACCTGTCTTGCAGGGCCTGCACCACCTACCTCCCAATCTTTATGTAACACATGGCCCACTCCTGCTCTCCAACTAGTTCCTAGGAGATACCCAACTCCTTCCTGTTTCAGGACTCTTGCATCCGCTTTCCTTCTGCCTGGAATACTTTTTTTTTTTTTTGAGATGGAGTCTAACTCTGTAGCCCAAGCTAGAGTGTAGTAGCGTGATCTTGGCTCACTGCAACCTCTGCCTCTGGGGCTCAAGCGATTCTCGTGCCTCAGCCTCCCAACTAGCTGGGATGACAAGTACGTGCCACCACACCCAGCTAATTTTTTGTATTTTAGTAGAGATGGGGTTTCACCATGTTGCCCAGGATGGTCTCAAACTCCTGAGCTCAGGCAATCCGCCAACCTTGGCCTGCCAAACTGCTGCAATTACAGGCGTGAGCCACTGTGCTCGGCCCTGCCTGGACTACCCTTTACCTATGTCTTTCCCAGCTAACTTCTAATCATTCCTCAGATATCATTCTAATATCATTTTTTCAGGGGAGACTTGCCTGATCCCAAAACTTTCATTTGGTGGCAATTTATCACAATTACAATTAATAATTTGTTACTAAATACGTTTGCGTCCCCAGATGGTAAGCTCAGTCACATCTATATACCGGCTTTCCTTATTGTGTAGCCCAGTGCCTAACACAGACAATGAATATTTTTTATTTTACTTTTTTTGAGACAGAGTCTTATTCTATCAGCCAGGCTGGGGTGTAATAAATAATTGTCAATGCATAAATTTATATAAAATGAATGAAGAACTGCTGAATGAGGTATGGTCAGAAAGTCATGTCATTGTGTGTTCTTAAAACACATGTATCGGCCGGGCACGGGGGCTCACGCCTGTAATCCCAGCACTTTGGGAGGCTGAGGCAGGTGGATCACAAGGTCAGGAGGTCAAGACCATCCTGGTTAACACGGTGAAACCCCATCTCTACTAAAAATGCAAAAACTTAGCCGAGCATGGTAGCAGGTACCTGTAGTCCCAGTACTCGGGAGGCTGAGGCAGGAGAATGGCGTGAACCCAGGAGGCGGAGCTTGCAGTGAACTGAGATTGCGTCACTGCACTCGAGCCTGGGCGACAAAAAAAAAAAAAAAAAAAAAAAAAACTCAAACAAAAAGCAAACAAACAAAAAAAACACATGTATCAGTACAAATATCCAAATAAGTGTTATCTTTTAAATGGTTATTTTTGGAAGCAAATATATTTATTTCAATAAACTACTCAAACCAGTTTAGTAGCCCATGATATTTGGGATGATCCTGGTACTAGTGTACAAACTATGCAAGAAAAAAAGTTTTTTTGTTTCTTATTCTAGATTTTATAAAATGTTTTATTCATTAAACTTGGTTTTGAACGACTTCAGAGTTATCATTCAAGAGTATGCTTTAAAGTGGCAATGCCTAGTAGAACTTTCTACAGCAATGGAAATATTCTATATCTGTATTGTCCAATACAGTAGCCACCAGCCATGTGTGGCTATTGAGCACTTGAAATGTGGCTAGTGCAACACAGGGACAGAATTTTTTATTTTATATAATTTTAATTGACTTAAGTGTAAAGAGCTGAATGTGGCTAGTGGCTATCAAATTGGACAGCACATCTGCTTTAAAGCCATCACCAGAATACAAGTTTCTGAAATATTTTGCCCCCAATATATGCCAGGAATCTTACTAAAATTATATAACCTCAACAAATGACTAGTTTGCATATATAAAACTATCTTTATATAAAATAAATCAGTGATATTATTAAAAAGATTCACTTCAGATGCCAATGACTGCTCTTCAATACTCCTCCCTTTTATTTAAAGAATGCCAAAGACCTTGTTCCATTTTGCCAGGCCCATATAACAATGCAGAAGCAACCAACAGACTTGAAGGAGACCACTGTGAATGAGGGAAGGTCGTCCATGACCACACATATTCTTGGGAACATAACTCAAGTTTGTCATGGATTTTGCCTGCTAGGCGTCTCCCTCTCCAATGATGCAATACTGAACATGTAAAAAGGTCAAATTAAGAAGGCAATCATGTATTTCTGGAACTGGTAAACAAATAATGGAACCAAGATGTCATAAGACTTCAACTGTGAGTGAAGTTTTGCCAAGGAAACAACATCACTCAATATTAAAAGGCAAGAGACCCTTAACAATGAGATAGTATCAGCTTTCTGTCTTGACAAAGGGACTGCTGTACACAGCACCACTGGGTTGAACTTGACAAAAAGATGCCAGTGTGACACCCACGCCTCTGCTATACAGTGATTTGGGTGGATGGCAAAAGTTTCAGAGGCCTGGCATATGCAACCATCCTTCCAGGCTCCCAGTTCAACATCTTCAAATACAAGAGAATATACTTCTACATGTGTATTCCCAGGCCTCCATGGTCAAGTTAACTTTTGGATATATTACTGCCCACATATACATACATGCTTATTAGTATATTGGTATCATCTGGGCCCTTATATATTTGTTTACTGTAATTTCAGTGAAAGTGTAAAATGGTATATCTATAATATAAATTTTTATTTACCACATGCTTTTTAATTGACAGATTAAAAAATATAATGACCATATTACAAAGTACTTGTGAGATATTCATGTCTGAAATTTTACTTTGATGAACTGGAAAGAAAACAGAAATACATTAAAGTTAATGAGCCTAATGATCTTTAATGATAGTAACTAGTTGTTCAAATGTAGAAATATCACAAGAAATCTGCCTATCCATGAATTCATTTCAAATGACTATACTTGATACACATGTTTTCTGATTTGCTTTTATTGATTTTGTTGATTCTTTACTATATCTGGAGATAAGATACATGTCTTCTCCACAATCTCTGACTTCCACAGTACTTTATACAGAGCTGTATAATAAACGTATTGTTTTGGTGATAGTGATAATAATGAAGTAAAAAGAACAGAGTGCAGTATTGTGATTCACCCATGATGAAGAAGTGGAAATATACTAGAATATAGAATCTTGGCATAGTATTACACAGATCTGGATGAGCTGAATAAAGCATTAATCTCTGCCAGAGTATCAATTTAATGAGTTTGCTAAACAATCATAAAGGCAGTTATCTTCCCACCACTAATTGATTCAAGGCATTTACTCTTCTAGAATGAGCATCTATTTCCATTTTACTCCCCTAATCCAGTGGAAATTGACTTGTTTCTGGGCTGTTACAACCTCAACTCCTCCCCTATGCTCTACATACCTTAACCCTCTTCCCCCTGTCCCACCCAGATCCCCTCTTACATACACACAAACGCACACACATATTTGACTTACCTTAATGTTTTCTGGCAATGCTTTGTTCTGAGTCAGTCCCACAGCAAGCAAAGCTATCACAGCTATGATAGAGGAGAAGCCAAGGATGGCTAGGATATTCTTGGAGCAAAATGTCTTCACGTTAGACTCTAAAACCAAAAGCAGAAAAAAAAAATACCAACAAGAAATCAAAAACACTGATTTTCCTCCCCTTTCTGTCTAGTCTTGTAATGGCTACCTGGAGATATCAGAGACAGATTAAAAGCCAATCTTTTTTATCAATGAGGCACTTACAAAGTAATTGGGAAATAATTCAAGAACAAAAGGATTTGTTTGTACTTCGACAAAGGCCAAGACTGAGTTAGTGGCTGTGGCAAGGACAAAACTAGGTCAGTGATCAGATATGGAATGAGGAGTGAGAAGAGCCCCAAATTGGCTGTTTAACAGGTCATACAGATCTATCAAGGTACAAGTAACAAATAACAAAAAACAAGGATAGCCCTCCTCATTTTTGAAATCTACCACAAAATGTTTAAGATGTTAAAAAGTATTAAGAATGCATCATCAAACAACAAATCCTACTATTCCATGACATTTCCTGGCTTGACATACATACTCCTTGCATTTAGACCACTCTTATATAGTAAGCAATTAGTAATGGCATAGAGGCTGAGGAGTCCTGAACATTTTGGATCAGAATTCATATTATCTTACTTATTTTGTCTTTAGTCTCATTCTGTCATGGGACATTAAAAAGGCTCCAATGGTAGAGTTATATAAAGGCAAAAGTGGCTGGGCGTCATGGCTCACGCCTGTAGTCCCATCACTTTGGGAGGCCAAGGCAGGTGGATCTCAAGGCCAGCAGCTCGAGACCAGCCAGGTCAATATGGTGAAACCTCATCTCTATCAAAAATACAAAAATTAGCCAGGCGTGGTGGTGGGCACCTGTAATCCCAGCTACTCAGGAGGCTGAGGCAGGAGAATCACTTGAACCCAGGAGGTGGAGGTTGTGGTGAGCCGAGATCGCGCCACTGCACGCCAGCCTGGGTGACAGAACAAGACTCTGTCTGAAAAAAATTAAAAACCGAAAACGGGTGCCGTGGCTCACACCCGTAATTCCACCACTCTGGAAGGCCGAGGCAGGTGGATCACAAGGTCAAGAGATCAAGACTATCCTGGCCAACATGGTGAAATCCCGTCTCTACTAAAAATCCAAAAATTAGATGGGCGTGGTGGCGTGCACCTGCAGTCCCAGCTACTCAGGAGGCTGAGGCAGGAGAATCACTCGAACCCAGGAGGCAGAGGTTGTTGTGAGCCAAGATCGCACCACTGTGCTCCAGCGTGGCGACAGAGTGAAACTCCCTCTCCAAAAAAAGGGCAAAAGCTACTTTGGTCAGATGTAAACAGATTGTATAGAGGAAGCAAACAGGAAATGAAATGGTTGCACCATTCCCTCCATTTTGACAACTCAATCTCCTCCTCTCTCAACGCCCCAAACTATCCCCAAACGTTTTCCTTATGCTTTGGGAAGAAAGGACAAGATAACATAATTAAAAAGCATACAGAAATGAGATGGGTTCTCTAGAATAGTTTATACTTCTCTAATGACAGAGGGTGGGATCAAAAAGCTAAAAGAGGAGCCCAGGTCTCCTCTTTCTCTTTCCCCCTTTGTCAGTAGAAGCTGGCTGGGCACTGAAATGGGAGCTCCCCCTGAAGCTCTTGAGCAGAAGCTTGAACTTAATTCAACTCTAAGCCTGGATTAAGGTATGGGTCTCCAATCCACCTCAATCCCCAGAATCTTGAGGCAGTCTTTACCCACCAGACCAAACAATGCAAAATTTAGGAGAAAAAGTTTTAGCAACATCATTATCTATTGCTTCCAAACAAGGAAGAGCAGATGAAATACACAGTGCTTCCCCACTTCTCCCTTCCCAAAAGAACCTTCATTTTGTTCAGATGCTTGCCTTTCCCCCAAGCTCAGGGATGGACTTGTCTGTGTAATTGCATTCCCTCACCAGTGATTGGTTTAACAATGGGTATGCCACCTAATTATGGCCCATGTGACCCTGGAGGAAGTCTTCTGGGGCAAGTCTAGGGAAAAAAGAAAACATTCTCTCTTCATCCTTAAGCATTGTCCTGCCTAGAAGGGATGACATCCAATGATGGTAGAGCAGAGAGATGCAGAGAATGTGAGTCCTTGATGGCATTTTAAGCTGCTAAATCAACAAATGCTGAGTCCATCCTTCCACAAGACTTAATGCTTTGACCCAATTAGAGTCAGGATTTTAATTACTTGAAGCTAAAACATCCCGATAAAACTGGTATGGGAGAGATGTCCTCTTTGATGCCAGTGTTCTGGAATCTGGAAAAGAACCCTCTAAGGGCACCCCATTTTGGCTCCCAATGTTGTGATGTTGACAAACACAGCCCTAACTAGCATGTCCTTTGGATAAATAATTATAAATATAACAACCAATTATAAATATAACAACAAACAAATTGTAGCAATGTTTCTACCATAATAAAATTTTGAATGTTTTACTCCCTCAACCTATTCAACAAGGTCTATCTATTAACTTCTTTTGTTTTTGTAAATATGACGATCTTGCTATCTCATTTTCCTTCCATGGCCATTTCAGGCACTATTCTTAGCATCCAAGTTACTACAATAAAAAAAAGAAAAACTGATAAGGCCTCTGCTCTTTGGAATTTACATTCTAGTTAGGGAAAAAGATAAACCAGAAAAGAAGCACATAAATAGGTCATATCAGGTCATGATACACGCTAAGAAGAAATTCAAACCAAGGAACGTGATAGAGTGACTTGCAGTAGAATTGGGAATGAAGGAAAAGGTATCAGATTGAGGGTCAAAAAAGCCTCTCTCAGAAGATGACATTTGAGCTGAGACCTAGAAGGTGACATCTGAGGAGAAAACACCAGCTTGGAGAGGGAGGAAGAACATAAGAGGGAGAAGGAACAGAAACTGCAAGAGCCCAGAGGTGGGAACCAACTTGATGTGACTCTAATTATTTCTTCCTTTTCCTAATGAGAATATTTACTAACTTCTTCTTGTCACTGAGGAGTTGGATATACACTTTTCTACATTTTCCCACCTTTTGCAATGATATCCAGGTTACCAGAATATATGGAAGCCTTTCATCCTAAAAAGACTTTTAGGTCAGAGAGAAAATTTAGGAATTTTTCCATAAGTGATTTTTCAAATGTTTTTATTACCAAAAAACCCACAATGGTTAAGTTTGTTTTTCATGTAACTGACTACATTATCCAGAGAGCAGTAATTAAAATGCTGTCTTCCATGGACTATATGAAATCCAGTTTTCAAAAGCCCTGATCACATCCAGGAAGCAGGAGAGTCATCTCAGAAGTGGTGCCAGAGAAGAGGTGCTAGAGGTGTGGTGCAGGTTGACATATCTTGGATGTGCTCATAAAAATAGAATTACTTAGGTAACTGCCCCTTCTTCTTGGACCCCCAGAGTGCTTTCAGACCCCATGACTGCCACAGTCAAGCTCTGTTATGGAAAATTCACATTGATTGTCTTCCCCCTGAAAAGCCCTTAATTTGCCTTGTGGCTAACAGAAATGTGGTTTCTGTCATACAATGCGAAATGGTATTTTGAAACAGAATTTCAACAAACAATTTTACCAAAAATATCCAATGGCAAAGTGTTATCATTGTTTTCCCTTTGAATTGGCTTACTGTACTGGAGAATTTAAGACTGCCACTTCCTTTGCATTTTTTTCTTTTCATGTGATGAGACAAGGGAGAGGAATTTTCTGCTTAAAGTGAGACAGCAAGGTAATATTAACTTCAACTCGTCATCTGACAGAGAGACAAAACTGAAGGAAACCCAAGCTTTGAAAAAACACAGGCTGATTTCAAGCCAACTAGCTGTGTCAGAGGAAAAATACCTTCAAGATTTTTATATGAATCAAAGGAAGCAAAGGTTCTTTTGATTCTTATAGAAACAGCTATCATGATGTCCAGTTACAATCATACTAAGGTGAAAATCAGAATTATTTAATTTCAGCAGGGTGCGGTGGCTCACACCTGTAATCCCAGCTCTTTGGGAGGCAAAGGTGGGTGGATCGCTTGAGTCCAGGAGTTTGAGACTGGGGGGTAACATGGTGAAAATCTGTCTCTACAAAAAAAAATACAAAAATTAGCCAGGTGTGGTGGCAAGTGCCTGTAGGCCTGTAGTCCCAGCTATTTGGGAGGCTGAGGTGGGAGGATGACTTGAGCCTAGGACACTGAAGTTGTAGTGAGCCAAGATCACACCACTGCACTCTAGCCTGGGCAACAGAGTGAGACCCTGTCTCCAAAACAAACAAACGAATTATTTAATTTTGTCCATAGTCAAAATTCTGTTGTACAGAGAAATCCCAGCATTGCTACTCTGTGATAACAAAAATATAACATTTTAAAATGTTACTCCATTAATAAATAGATTTAGGGTGTTGACAGATGTGGTGGATTTCAGGCAAAAACAAGTTTTGCTTTGCAGATCCAATGTGACTGACTAGATTCAAATTGTTTCCAATTTGTTATGGGTCACATCTGGACTAAACTTTTCTTGTCATATAGAGAACAAAACAGCAAATGTGGACAAGCATTGGTGAGCAAACATCCAAGGAATGTTGTGGTCCTTCCTGTGTTTACATAGCCTAATGATGGAACAATCACTGTAGCTCAGAAGACTGGTCCTAATCTGGCCTTGTCATTCCTCCAACTCCCAGAGTCAAAAAAGTCTGTACACCACCCCTGCTACCTTCCTCCTTCTCCTTCAGGGAGCTCTTCTTGAGGATACATATGTAGGTTGTTCTCACACTCAGGGGCTTGAAGATCTTTTCTCAGTTATTTCATCCCAAGCCCCTTAGACCCACCTTCTTCTACAATGATATCCACATCCCCTGATCCCAGTCACCCTTACCTCATATCTGATCTTCTACAATGGCCCTTTCTGGCGACTCCCACACTCCCTAATTCTCTTCCCTATCAGAATCCCTCCTTCATGTGACTATAGAAATCTTCCACAATTGACGTTCCTAAGACTCTACCTTATCAAGAACCTATGGCCTGCTGTGTGCCAGATAAAAGCCACACTGGTCTACCTAGACCTCCAAGCCCTTC